AGCTCAACTCCCCCTAGTATTTGCCATACAAGCAATGACTAAATTTTACATTGAAGGTCAGTTCTAACATTTATTGAAGCAGATATGTTGTCTACATTCAGAAATGCATTACTGCTTTCTTTTCCAAGATTTTTTTTTCAGCAAATGGTCACAAAGAAAATCCTTGAAAACAAACCATATAGGTTACGAAAGTTTATATACAAATGCATATTTACAAGGTGTAGCTCATCTCCTGTTTAAATTGGACAGAAAAAATATATGGTAAAAGTAAAAAAAAGATGGTAAAAATCAAAAAAAGTCACGTTTGTTATTAGCCAGTTAATCCATCATGTTTATATAAAACTTGAAGGATACAATGTTACGCATCATTAACTATTTCCTGGAGGTCAGCAGCAGCAATATTATCTAAGGTCAATGATGGCAGCCTTCAAATCTGCCAAACTGAAACTGACTGTTTTTGACTTACACAGCCCAACTGATTATAACCCTTAAGTTTTCTTGGGGATTGAGATCAAGGGAAAGAGTAGGTTTCTATTATTTTTCTTGTAATCGGTGACCTTGATGTGGTCAGGGTGAAAAGTCAGGTTAAAATCCCCTTTTCTTCTTATGCCATGAAAATAGAACACTTAGTTAAATTTGCTTTTCTTCTCCCCATGCAACCTGAATAACTTACAAAATTGTCTGCTACTTCATTCCTTAACAACGTAAAATGTTTTGCAGAAGAAAAAATTAATAAATGGAACAGTGCACGAGAGAAAAAGAGGAAATCTTTTCCAATAAAATGCAAGGTGGAGGGTCATTAATTTTGTAGGAAAGGCTTCAACTACAAGCATGAATATCGTAATTTCTGAAAGGCCTCAAGTATTAGCAAACAGTCATCAAAATTCCTATTTTTTGAAATCTGAAAAAAAATTTGCTTTATATTTAGCTTTAAATTACTATTCAAAATATTTAAATATCAAATAATTAAAAAATTAATTTTGCCTTACACTGCTTAAAACAAAAAAGTTTATTATTATAATGCTTTAATTGAAACATATTTCATGAAAACGTAAAAACTAAGTGATACATTTACATAAAAGTCTTATGTCAAAAGTGATATTACATAAATAGCTCCACTTAAATTATTTTATGTGGTTACATTTACATAAAAGTATTCGCCGTGCAGAGAGTTGTAGATTTAATTTTTTAAATCAATGCAGAAAAAAGACACTGGTTAACTAATTAAATCTTCATAGTAGAATGTTTTATAACCTTAATAATTTGATGAATCTTCTAATTAAGACACATTTTTTAAAAATATTTATGCATTGACTTCTGTTGCAGCATACAATTAGTAAATTTTAAATTTCAATAATTAACAGATTTTAACATTTTACAAGGATTTACATTAATTTTATTTTTTATGAAATTCATCATATGTGCTGGCTTTTTCTATCAATTCAGGATCTGCCCTGAATTAATTAATGGTGTAAGAACATATAATCCAAGTAAAATCCCCACTTACTCAAAAGTACAGCATAGAAAAATAATATGTTTGATATTAAAATAAAAAAAACTCATACTATAATCATGTTTCTTATTTCAAATATGATACCTAGAACATTTAAAAAAATTACCCAGTTGATCTAAACTATAACACTTAAATCACACAAGTATTTAATCCACAATTATTTTATTAACATAAAATACTAGATCACTACAATATCATTGATATTTCAACAAAAATACAACATTTCTTAAAACGAATTGCTGTACATAATTCAGTTTTCCAATAGGTAAAAACTAGTTTTATGATTTTGAAAGCTATAATCCAGAAGATAAAATGCAAACACAGCATATATATCCAAAATTGTAATTAATAAAACTGAAAATAAAATTTTTAATTTTTCAAACTTCTTTCAGACTTTACTCACATTTTTTTATTTTATTTGATAACAATGAAATTAAAAGTTTATCACGTACCATAAAATTACAAAAACATAAATTTAATACCAAAGAAATGAATAGATATAAACTAAATCTGCTCTTCCTTTTCTTTACACAAGAGGTATTATTAAATAATAATAGAAAACAAGATGCATAATTATAAAACAAAGACAATTTAATAATGCAAAAACAAGCCAATAACTAGTTTACTACAAAATATCTTTCATTGTAGCCTAAAGTAAATAGGTAAACAAATAAGCCTAAACACACTTTTAAGAAACATTTGTTCAGGTATTTCAGAATAAAAATTAATTGAAAATTGAAATAATCACAAGGAAAAAAAATTTATTTTTTTTTTAAATATTTAAATATAGAGTAGAGGAATGAAATCCAAAGGAAGTAAGAATACTTTTATTTCGAAAAATTTATAATTTATGATTTGTACTTCTTTATAGTAAGATAAAAATTTTACATTAAGGAAAAAAAGATGGCTTTTCTAACAAGTTTATATCAATTAATTAGTCAACATTTAATTTACAATTCCATAATTGAAATCAGTTTTAGATAATCGAAAAGCATTTAAAATTCATTTATACTATGCATGTTATTCAGTTGTACTATTATAATTACAATAACAATTACTACTTATGGCTTTCGTAAGCAAAAACTAAATTTGTAATGAGTTGTATATATTTATATATACATACACATAGTGTTATCCATTACTAAAGTCAAAAATTTTTTCTCCAATTATTAAGATTTTAATTTGTTCCTTTATTTGCTAATTATGATACAAGGGCATGAAAACATTACAATTTTATAATACAAAATTCTCTGTCTATTAATCATTGACTTAAAAAAAAATTCTGTAAGAACTTTAAAAAATGCGATTACTGCAGCAAATTCGTTATTTAATATTAAGAGATATTTTAATTTAATCTTTCAAGAAAAACCATTTCTTTTCTTTTTTTTTACTTTCTTATCAAATAAATAGTCAGTATTAAATAATTAGAATAAATAATATTAACTAAAGGTGGGACTTCAAATCCTGAATCAAAACTTTAAGGAAAATAAAATAATTATAGTTTAAAAAATTAGTCAGTGTACTTAGCTTAAGAAGAAGTTAAAAATGTTAACTTTTTTAACAAAGTTATTTCTAATTTTAGTTTAGGCTTTCAAAAACTGATTGATAAAATCTAAAACTTCTGAGGATTCTCATATACATTTATTTAACTTATAGTTACTGCACATGTTTCAATAAAGCTAACTTTAAATGCATTTTTCTAAGAGAGAAACGGATAGATTAGGATATGCCATGCTTCTTCAGTCATCCTCGAATACATAATTATGTTAATAGTCTTTTAGTTAAACATGCAATGATAATTTACGAGGAATGAATTTCAGCAAACAGCAAAAAAAAAAAAGAGAAAAAAAAGATTATTGAGACTTATTTCGATTTATTGAAACTTATTTCGATTATTATTTTTCAATGATTTATGGAAACTTTTACTTATTTTATGACTAAAAATTTAACAAAATTGATCAACATTGAAAAGGTATGAATAAATGGAGGATCATATGTGAGGTAACGAATTGCAAAATATAAAAAGAATTAGCTCATATTGATATTTTTGATCAATGGGAATTTTTAAATACCAAGGGAAAAAAAGAAAGAAATATCACATAAAAATAAAAAATGACAAAATTTAAATGTTATCTTTTTGAAGAAACAAAACATAAACAGCAATCATAGAAACAATTTAAAAAGTCAACAAAAAATATTTTATCACACAAAATTTCAAAAAAAAAAAAATAATAATAATAATAAATAAAATAAAATGGAAGAGCATGTGTAGTTAAAACTAAAATAATTTTTGAATTGCATAAAAATGATAAAACATTTAAGAATATATGTAGAATAAATGACTTAGCTGCTTCTACTCTAAAAGCGATTTACATACATGGGTATAAAAGGCAGTGAAATGTACATATGGAATACAATGCTTTAAAAATACTATAAAACTATTCATTTAGAACAATGAATCTAGGTTCATATTATTTACACACATGGAATTAAATGTATGAACGTCCACAAGCTCAATTTATTGCACAACTACAGCTAAAAATGATTTTTAGTCTACTAAAAGATTAAAGCCTTGCATATTTATGAACCAACTGGAAGAAATGGGGAAGAAAAAGAATTATTTTGACTAGCACCAACACCTCTAAAGACCTCTTTTTATTTAAATTCTAAAATCATTATAATTCAAAAACATTTGGCCAGCCATTACAAATATAGAAGTCAGCATTATGAATATTTTGTGTAACCTCTACATATCATCACGTGAGATCACAGCATTGGTAGTTTAAAAATAGTTAGCAAGATATCACACACAAATTTGACACTTTCTTTTCACAACCTGCTTACAATACATGAATAAAACCTCCAATGGCTAATTTCATAGCATTGGACATTGTTCAATTGTTTACTTAAAATCTGTTGATGGTAATCGTTCATATTTAAATAGATAATTTTTCTAAAAAAATGTCATATGTCTAACTTATATTTTAAAAACAATTACATAAAAAAAAAATTTTTTTTTTAATGATAAAGACATTACAAAATTTTTCTACAATACTAAATACCCTTTAAAAAAGATAGACAAAAAAAAATTTACAAGCAAAATTATGCGAAAAAATAGAATTAAATTTAAAAAATGAAATATAATATACACATATATTATATTTCTTAACATAATATTTCAAAATACAATTAAATCATTTTAGAAATTAGTATCAATCATTATAAAATGCAGTAAACTATGCAAATTTTATAACACATCTGAATAAAAGGAAAAATTAATAATAGAAATTTCTAGAATTTTGCTGATAGTAAGCTGTACTTCGGATGTAAATAAAACATCTACAAAAAAAAATTTCTACTAAAATAAAATTATTTTTTCCCAAAAATAAATAAATAATAAAACATTTTTAATTCAAAGATATTGTACATTATCATTATTATAATTTAATTGAATACCATAATTTATTATAACATAATGCAGTAGGATAATAGGACTTTACATAATTATTAATGCATGAACCAATAAATTTTTGTAATAACATTTTCATAAAGGAATTCTCAGGTCTTATATAAATAATTAGGATTAATTTTATGTGATTAGAATGAGCTAAGTTATAAATTTTTATAAACAAATTAACAAAGATATATTATAAAAAAAACTCAATAATAGACAGAAAAGCAAACGTAATAGACCTACCTAATTCTCACTTTATATAAAATACATATAAATAACATTTGTAAAAGATTACAAGTAGAATATTGTTCTCCCCTAAATAAACAATAAAAAAAATTGTAAAAACAACAGCAATGCACAGATATTCTGGTCCACCAATGAAAATTTTCAACATCACTGTCTCTTGTCACATTTGATATTGCTTCATTCTGAATATTAAACACACTAAGAATCTAATTTTGCGAGTTCACTTGTGTATATTCCAATGCTCTCCATGTCATGTAAAACAAAAAATATTTGTTTTAAAGAACTAGACATTATATTTACAAAATAATTAGATATTGATTTGAGGATGATTTGGGCAGCTTGTTGTTTCGGAAAGCTTGAGCTGAAAATGAAAGAGTTTAAAATTCATTATAATTGAATGAGAAAAATTACTAAGATATATAGTGATACAAGTTAATTTGGCAACCTTCATAGGCACATTGTGAAAGAAATGTTCAGCGTGGGGGGGAGCATATGATTCAAATATATATAAAAAATAATTTCTGTGTTTAGTGTAGTTAATAAACAAAATATTGTCAATAATTAAAACCCTTCATTAAATATAACAGATACTGTAATTTATTCAAAGCATTTTGTAAGCAATAGCAAGTCTCAAATTTAATGTTTCAAAAATTATGAAAGCCACAGGAAAATTTCTCTTTTTTAATCACTTACAGATAGTATATTCCACTTGCAAAGAATTTTTATATAAGTGAAAAATTAAACTTTATAACACCAATTACGATCATAAACTATCAACAATAATTAAAAATTGTTTCTTTGAAGTTATAGTGTCTAAATTGCAACAATTTAAAAACACTCATTAAATAGTTAAGACATAATTTACATCAAAATAATAGCCACAGAATTTTGGTAATTTATACATAAGCTATCTAACTTTTTGATTTTTGAAAATCAACTTTTTTGGGAGGTTGGGTTAAAAGAATGGATTAATTTAAAGAAATTTCGTAAGTTTAGAAGTCTTTGGATTGGGCTGTACCTCCTTGACGCTTCGACCATGATCCCTTTTGTAAAATGATCTATTGACTATCATTATAACTAAATCAAAGAAAACTACAAAGGTTACAACTTACACAAGTTTCAGTGTATAAGCTAAACCAACAAAGCAAAAAAAATAAAGTGATATAGAAATTTTATTCTTTCTTACAAAAAGTTTGTTACATCAATAAAAATTTTATGTCAAATTAATTGCTAGAAAAAAGGCACACATCTAAATCCTTTTTTTTTTTTAAAAAAAAAAGGTCTAGGGTCTATGCAGTTTGAGTTCAAAAAAAATTTCATAGACAGCAATGATTAATATAAATTTAAATTGCTTGCATTCTTATAGTTCCGAAAAATTTCAGAACAACATTACAAGCAAAATGTTTTTAGGATATCCTAATTTAATAATTTTTTTTCAACCCTCAAACTATTAGGCATAAAATGTCTCATTAGTGTTACACATAAACTTCAGATTTAGTTGCATAACTAACTATATATAATTTAATTATAAGCATCANTTTTTTAAAAAAAAAAAAGGTCTAGGGTGTATGCAGTTTGAGTTCAAAAAAAATTCCATAGACAGCAATGATTAATATAAATTTAAATTGCTTGCATTCCTATAGTTCCAAAAAATTTCAGAACATCATTACAAGCACAATGTTTTCAGGATATCCTAATTTAATAATTTTTTTCAACCCTCAAACTATTAGGCATAAAATGTCTCATTAGTGTTACACATAAACTAAAGATTTAGTTGCATAACTAACTATATATCATTTAATTATAAGCATCAATAGTTCAAAATATAACTTCATTCAGAATATGCCATTCTAATAAATACAAATCCTCATAATTTATTTGGGAAATATAACTTCTTAAAGTAAATTACAGTTAAAATTAGAATAATTAATATACATAATCACTGTGGAGACAGGTACTAAAATAGTAGGTTATATAATTTCAATGTAATAATTTTTTTAAAAATGGCACTAATAACGAAATTACCAATAATTTGCTAATCTCAGAATTTGAAGAAAAATAATAGGGATTTCTGTCAAAAATTAGTTGCATAATTATTTTAGATTTAATAATAGAAAATACAAAAACTCTTAACTGCTGATTACTGGTAATTTTAAATTAAAAAATAAAATGAAAGCTTACTATTTAGGAATTAAGGTAGGTGAACTCTCCTAATAAATTAAAATTCCTTTTGACTTTAAATTCATAATATATGTTTGGTAAGTTTTTATCTGACTTTTATGATAGTTATTATACAAAATAGAGTAAAAATAAAATTATAAACTCTTAGTAAACATACCTGCCAGTACTAACTGAAGGTATCGCAATAGATTTCAAATTCTTTTCATCAGCCAAGGACAAAATGTTTTTTATAGCTTTCTCCAATTGTTCAGTAGAATTTGAAGAACCATAAGGTGGTATATTACAATGAATGACATATTTGGCAAGGAAGTTATGACCTGGACAAATCACAGCTGAAAAAAAGTTAAAATGCCATTTATAAGAAAATAAACTGAATTAAGTAGTTTTAAATATTCTCTAAAGATCAATTTATAAAATTAATAGCTATGCAAAAAAATAATGAGATAAATAAATAAATAATAACATTCATCTATTATTGTCTTGATATACATTTGTAGTTTTTATCAAATTTTTAAAAAAATATCACTAAAAAGTCTAACACTTAAGTAGATAAAAGGCATTCTAAGTGTTATCAAAATTTTCAAAAGCTTATCACAAAGTACTATAAAATATAAGCATCAATTGAAGATGAATTTTCACATACTCTTTCACTTAACATGAAAAGTAGATAGCACTATAAAAAGTTACTCTATTAGAGAAAATTGTGAATAGGAAATGAATACAACCACACTAACTGATTTGCTACTTTAACAAATTTGTAGTAAAATTTTCTTAACAAGCACAGTATTTCCATTGGAAAAATTGGTATTCTGTATTTCGTACAGGAAAGAAATTAAATTCTACCTTAATTTGGTTTGGGGGTCACAATTAAAAATTTCATAAAAATAATAGGTATTTATACTCTTTATAAAAATTTAGATTCCTCAGAAAAAGTAAAAAGATAATTGACTTTTCACTAATGAACTTTTTGTTTTAACCTAGTCTTCCAAAGAAGCTACATTATTTTCTTACTAAGAGGAATTCACTAATATTTCAAGAAAATAAACCAGGAAAAAAATTATACATTTATATTGGGAAGGAAAAGTCATTAGACACCATATTATAAATCAGAATTTAAGATTTTCAAAGTACATTAAAATATTTTATATAATTAAGATTACTAAAAACATAAAAATTTAAAATGTAACGTTAAATAAATAAAAATATGTGGGAAAAGATAGCAGCAAACAGGGCAAAATGAAGTGTATCAAATCTAAATAAAATACAACAAAAGTGATACAAAACTAAAAGCATAACACAAAAAGCACAGATTTTTGGTATAAAAATATTTATCAAGTCATATATTTTATATTTAAAATATTAAACAGGTTTTTATTCTTAATATTTACCAAGCATTATAATTTCAATAATAACTTAATTTGTTTTAAAGGTGCATTAATAAAAGGTCATTACCTCCTCCAATATCAAGTGGTCCATTAGAAGATATAATATCCTTGACTTCCTGTTGAAATTCTTTACCTCCTGTTTTTTCTAATGCTAAACCTAAGACAGGAATAAAAATTCATGTAGAAAATTTTTATTATAGTTTTTAAAAATTAGAGAGACTTACTAAAATTTAAATCCTTTAAATATTACAAAATTTTATTAATATCATCATAGTAACTTCTTGTAATAGATTACTTCGCAACGAAAAGTGTGATGAATCCAAAATATAATATTTTGATGCTTTGTAATGACTATAACAAAATTATTCAAGTAAATGATAACATTTACCGTTGAATCTTTTTTAGTAATACTTGCTTTATCTTCCCCTTAACAAAGTATTATTATAAATAATTTAATCATTATTATGAATTAGTACATATCAAAAATATATAATGTGTCTTATCTTTTTAAAAGAACACTTGATTTCGATCTTTTAAGTACAATTGATGGACAAATTTGGTTTTAATGATTTGTTGAATAACTACTGAATCACTAATAGCATTTTTTTTTCTTAATAAAAAAATATTCATTTCTTATGTGCAATATTTTTAAATTGGAGATTTATATTATGTTAAATAAAAATCTACTTTTAGAAAAAAAGGACTTGGAAATTTACATTTCTTGCATTTAGTTTTGGAAGTCTAGTGGTGTCACTAATAAGGGGGTTTACACAGTTAGTAAACTATTACATAGAAGAACTATTTTTGAACAACCTATTTTACTTTATTCTTTTTATTAGCAATAAGAAGTTGTTTTTCAAAAAAGGTTGAATCTTTGCGTTAAGTTTCTTTAATTCAAATTTAACCATTATAGTATAGGGCCAATGACCTGTACCAAGGTAAATTTTGATTATGAAAAATCTAAAAAAGTAAATTTTAAAAAACTATGATGATAATTTTTTTCTGGGTAAAATTAAACATTTCTTAAACTTAGGATTGATAATTTTTGTTGTGCATACATCACAATTCAAATCCTGTTTTTAGAAGATAATTTTGTAGCTTTTTTTAAATTTCATTTTCTACAAAACAGGCACTAATTTATGCTTAGAAGTGCACATAGAAAATATTACATCCATATAATCTCTGTAATACTACTTCCCACCTCTATTTCATTAGAGTAGGGGAAAAAAAAAAGGTGAGTAGAGAGCAATGATCTCTCTTTTTTCAGCTCCTTCAGAGAATATGAAGATAATCATATGGATTTCTGTTAAAATTAATTATTTTGGGAGAAAACTGGAAAAAAAAGGCTTGGACCTTAATTGTCAAAATTAATTTTTACAATTTAGTTAATCAGCAAATGGATGAAAAACACTCTATATTTAAAAAGCAGAAAATGGCAACTATGAAGCGTTCCATAATCAACAAAAAAATTATGTTAAAATATAAATAAAAAAAGCTTTGAAATCTGACATTACAAAAGCCTTCTTTTCTGTCGCATTTGTACAGTTGCTTACATAATGCCAAACTTCAAATTATTTTTTTAAAAATTTAATTTTTTTTATATCAACAATAAGATACCTAAAATACAATAGAGTCTTACTTTTCCAGTTAACAATGAGCCCAATTGTCCAATTAACTGGTTCATGCAATAACCATGCTTATGATTTGTCAGATTTGGTATATTAGGCAATTATGCTTTATAGATTACTATCAAATTTTTGATGATTAATTTATCAAACATTATTATTAGTATTAGGATTATCAAACTAATTGTACAAATTGCACACAATAAGAAAAGACACATGTAAAAGTTACAAAAGATGCTCAAAAATATATTTGTATACTAAGCTTTTAAGATAGGTAGAATCAGAATGATACTTCCTATCTAAAATTTTACAAAAATTTTCAATGTGTTGCATAATTTTGACACAACTTAATGCGTTGCATAATTTGACTCAAATGAATTTCTTTAATGAGATATACTTATTTCACACACTACTAAAAGAAACAAATACAAAAAAAAGGAATATAGGCTTATTTCATACCTATGTCACTACTCATATGCAAGGAAGCATTTGTGGGATGAAGAAGAGCGTCAGAAGTAACATGAATTATATCACCCTGAATGACAATAAGCTGAAGAAAAGAGATGAACAATAAATATTTATACAACAAACACCATTTATTCGGTAATAAAAATGGATTACATAAAGCAAACTAATTTCTATGATTTACTATACATATAGGACTCTAGCTAAAATAAAATTTCATAAAGCTTTAACATCAAATGCAATTTTTTTCTGCTGTTTCTTATCACCAACTAATTTGTGCAGATTGTGTAGGTGTTAGGGAAGAAAACCCTCAAATTAACTTAAAGTTACTAAAATAAGTAAAAATATATTTGTTCTTACTTTTTGACCAAGGAAGAGCTTTTTCTCTGACAAAACTGTAATAGCACCACTCACATTGCTGAGAGAGTTTGGAAGATCTTTACCACCCTGGAGAATGAAATACCAATGTTTTGTTTACTCATAAACAATTTTTTAAAATTATCCAAAATTCTCACAAATATATGCAAAACATTACTTAAATATATCTTTAATTAAAAAAATCTTGGCCATAGCAAGGTTATATGTACTAGAAATGTGCCTGCCACTTTTATAATTGTGAAAATAATTATTAAAATTAATTTTAAAGAAATAGGAAGTAGAATGAAACAATGCAAAATATATCTACCAAATAATATCTCTTAGCGTCGCTAGAAGATGTTAGTGATTTCATTGTCAACGGTGAAAGAGCAATGAGCTGTGATAAAATTTCGTTTGGCAAAAAAAAGGTGGAAAAATCCATTTGAAAATGTTGGGAAACAGAGCATTGCAAGTGCCAATGTGAGAATATGTTGTAAAATGTTTCAAAATGAGCTTGGATGATGAAGTCTAATTTGGGAGAACAGTGCCTTCTTCAACCTGTTTAATTGTAAATGAAATTGGCAGCATCATAAAGGAGAACCAGCATCTACCTGTTTCTTATTGCCATTAATTGTTTTTCCATACTTTCTTTACTTTTATATGATATGCATTACTTATTATTATAGTCTTGTTTATAGAAAAAATAGATCATTGCCCTTTAATTAGTTATTACGAGACTTTACAACAAAAGTTTGCAGTTTTAAGTTTTCCCAAAAATTTTGAAATATTTCAAATTAACTATACAACTTATATCAAAACATACTTGTCATTGATTTAATATGCCCGTAACTTAACAGAGTAGGAAAAATTTACCTTTCCTTTGCCTTTTCCTCTTGTGGAAGCAGTAACGGTTGTTTTTCTGGTAGCAATCTTTTTTGGAGCATAAACGGGTTTAGACTTTTTAGGTGCAACAACTGATGCAGATGATGGAGATGCAGGACCAGAACGAGGAGATGGCATGCTTGCAAATCTGTTTTTCCTCTTAGCTAACAATTCTGGTTCTATGCGGGGTAGAACTCCTCCCGAAGCAATAGTAACATTCTTTAGTAACTATGATAAATAAATAAATAAGTAAATTGATTAAGATTAATAATAAATTGTAATTTCTTCTCTTTAAAAAAAAACTATGGATACACATTTATTGATAAAAATTAAAAGAGCTTGTGCATTATCCAAGTCTATGATAAGGCTGAGGGATGAATGTAGGAAAGTCATCACTTTGGCAGCATGGCATTAGCAATGGCAGATATACATGCCTTGCTGTCTAATCATTGTAGGTGGTTTAAGTAATTATTATATTATAATTATTATACATTTTATAGACTGCATCAAAATGATTTTCATATCAGAATGCTTTTTAAATGTTTCTCAAAAAATGTGCAAAATTTCATATTATTATGAAAGGGAGGAACACACATTATTAAAAATTTCTAAACCTGCTGCATGAACATAATTTTTTTTTAAATATACAGATATAATTTGAAAAACAAGCAAAATTACATTATTATTACATCAGGGTAATAACATCACTGTTTCTTTTATTTCTATCAATAGTTACTTTTTAATTAACTATTGAGTTAAACATAATGATCCAAATAACAAAAATATTATTTTATCTTCTTTCAAGCGTAGGTGTTAGGGAATGAAATCCCACACTGTTTTTTACAGTGCAGAGTTTCAGAATTGAAATTTACAAACGGAATTTCATTCAAGCAACTTAAAATCAATTTTAATAAGCTACATGTACAACTGAAAACAGAGAAAAGTATAAGACACAAAGAGTTTGTACACAATATGAAATTTAATATTTTGTAAAAACAATACCAAAAAAATTATGAAGATTATGGTCCTAAAAATGTACTTCTAATTTTTTCTTCCTTGCTAAAAAAGGATGCAAAAAACATAACGAATCCAATGAGTCATCTCCTTAACTGTTCTTGTTGATTATAGTGTCAATTTCCTTTTTCGTCATATTTCCTTGTGCGCAATTCTGAGGAAACAGTGCATTTTGTATGGCTAACTTCAGTTCATCTTTTAATCATATTTCTGGCCCATCATCCTCAATCTCTTTGTTTTCTTTATTGTTGATTATTGTGCTTTCTTTGTAGTTTCCTTCCTTTAATATGTTGACAAAATCTTTTTATTTTTCTTGACCCTATTTGCAGATAGAGGTTTTCAATATTCTGTTTGACTTTATCGTGTTTCAGAAATTCTAAAACAAATTTGAAGCCCATTCTCTAGTCATCGAGTTGTTGGTGATTACGCAGATACTGAAAACACTGTTATATCCATTCTTTTCAGTTAAATATGAGGTTCTAATGCAAATTTCAAACATTCTCTCAAGTGTGTCTTCTGACAATTAATTTCTTTTTTAACTGGAACTTCATTATCACACAGTCTCTCCTAAAGATTTTCTTAAACACAAAGTCTATGGGAAAAAATCTGTGCCTCCTAAAAGTGGTCGTAAATAGAGGTGGTCCTTCCTGGATGCTTCACTGTAGTATATAAAAAAAATTTTAAGCAAAAGACTGTATGCTAAAGTAATATCTGTAAGCAAGGGTATCTGAATTTCCATTGTAATAGTAATAATGAAAAAAAGTTTCCTTCATATTTCTGCATTTTTATGCTTTATTTATTTCAGTACTTACTATATTCAGTACTTACTATTTTCAATAGTTTATTTTACCAATTTTTTTCTTATTTATTATGTGTCGAGAGTTGGTAAGTGACCAAAAAATATCTATTTTCTGCTCGCCATGTTATGAATTTACAGATTAATAAAATTTTCATAACAATATTTTAAGAGGTATAACACTGGTTTTTTTTAAACAACTAACATGTAAAATTTATATAGTAAAAAAAATACCAAATGTAATTCCTCATCATTAGCAATGGCAAGTAGAATATGACGGGGAGTAACTCTGCCTTTCTTGTTATCTCTAGCAGCATTTCCTGCCAGCTCTAAAATCTCAGCTAAAATAGAAATCTATATTATTATGAAGTTTTAAATGTAATCAATAATAAAAAAAAACAATACAAACCAAAATCACTAGTAAGTTATTAACAAGACTAAAAAAAAATTAGGTTAAAAGAGAAAAATTAATGCATTGGTGCATTGTGAAAAATTGAATTGTGTTTAAATCAGAGTTGACGAAGTTTTGAAGGTTTCACCACAATATAAAGTGCTATCCGTAAAACTTCTTTGATAGATATACTTGTCAGAAACTTAAAATATTACACACATGTTTAAACATTATTATTGACAACCTAAAATTATGCTGCCAGGAATGTTTAAGAAAAAATGTTGTAAAAAACAAAATCTATGTCAAAAGAACCAGAAAAGTTTCAATTTTAAAAATTTAGTAAAAAATAAGTCGGGGTTTGGCTGGAGTGGTTCCGAGCTTTACACTTCGATTTAGTCCATTTCTGAGGATTAATTTTCTAATCTCTCAGAGGCCATTGTGCCGGAAATCACCAAAACTTGATGTCTCATTGACAACTCTGGCACAGGTGCTGAGGGGAAATCTCCGAATCTTGATTTGTGGCAGAATAATTGCCAATTCTTGGCAACTTTTGGACAGCAGCCAGTAAGAAACTAATAAAAAACTTCACAAAAAGGGACTAACTCGAAATGTATAGCCACCCCCAGGCAAGCATCTACATCTTTTGAAAAAGAAAAAATTGCAAATTTAAAATCTATTTGGCATCTTGGCGATTGTAGTTGGTGCTACGGATCAAGATACGGAAATATCCCCACTGCTGGTATTAAAATTTTTGTCTTACATAATTAAACACACAATTAATGTATTTATTTGAAAAAGACTCAAAATTAGAAGAAAAAAAAATATTTTTTTCAAAAATTTGTTTACATATATCGTTACTTAAGACAAAGGTATGTATCTTAATAATTTATAAAGCTCTAAGTTTTAGAACTTATTCAATGTACTAAAGTATAAAGTTTTACCTAATGAAGAAAATATTCAATATGCAACTTCGATACTCAATAACTTTATTTAATATATTAACTGGGCACTGTGAAATAATTAAAATCCCTTGATGGATTTTTATCAGAATCAGATGAAATTTCATCAGAACTGATAGAGAAATGTAGCACAAGTTTAAAAAATTAAAATTGGCATAATTTTAAGCTGAACTTGTCAGTAAAAAATAATTAAAACAAACTAGTACATTAATTTGATGAATTACAATCCCTTACCTGTGAGATACTCAATTACGGCTGCCATATAAACCGGCGCTCCTGCGCCAATTCGTTGATGATGAGTCCCATTTCGTAAATAACGATGAAATCTACCTACAGGAAACAAAACCCCAGCTTTCGTGGATCTTGAAGTAGCCTTGCTTCGTTTTTTCCCTCCACGACCAGACATTTTTTAAATCCAAATTAATTATAAACTACCTAGCGATCTAGCAAATCATTAAACCGAAAATATATAACAAACAGAAACAGACAGACTCTTTAAATTGCATCACAGTTAGAGTTACATTTATGAGTCCCATCATATTGTTAACTAAATGAGCTAATAACTTTTTTAAATGAATTTTATACTGTGTTAAAGTATGTTTCATGTAAATACTAATTATTATAAGCATTAAATTACTTAAACCAAATGTCCTAAAATTTAAAATAACACATTGATATAACTGTAATCACTCGTAACTGTAATCTTTTTACTCGGTGGAGAAAGTAAATAAACAAACATTGTGGAATTCGTTGATATTTTTTAATATATCTATTTTATAATGCCTTATTTATTAGGTACCAATGCTATTCGTAGAACCATACGATATCTTGAACAAGGAAAATTAATATTTAGGCAAAATGTAAAAGTTATGACTGTCAGCTATAATGATAAAGGTGATTATCATCAAGGTGCAAGGTAACTATTGCAATTGAAATTTTATTCTTAATATTTTTCTCATCAAGAAATTGAGTGTTTTTTGTTAATATTTGTGTTTAGTTCGTGCTCTTGTTAATAGATTGATAGATTTGTAATCCGTTTTTCAATGTCTCCAAGTTGTCTGAAATTAAATGAAATATCTGATTAAGCTTTGATTAATGAAATAACAATATTTAAAGATGTAGTGGCATAAAGGTAAATAAACGCTTCAAAGATTTGAATTACGCACTGTAATATAAAACAATAATTTTAACAATAATCATGAGGATAAACGGGTGCAAGTCGATGGCTTTATTTTGATTTCTTTTTTTCACCTGTATATTCTATTCTGTTAGAATTGCTATATTTGCTACTGTTGAATGACAGCTAAACTAAAACGTGTTAATATAATCTACATTGTAGGTGGCGGTACAGCTACAAAGTTTTTAAGTTATATTGCTACTGAAAAATATGTATTGAAAATTCATTAGCAAAACAATCTCCCAGTCTTGGACAGTGGCCCTTAAGAAACTATAAAAAAAACATCAGAGAAAGGGACCAACTGGAAGGGTATAACTCGTAGCCAAACCCAAGCAAATATCTACATGTTTTAAAAGAAAAAAAATAATAAATTCCCGTAAAAAATCACTTTGAGGCCTTATCAATTGTTGTAGGCGTGGTAGATCACAATACCGAAATATCTCCATTTTATTTTCCTGTCTGTATGTACCTATAGTTAGACTAAGCGTGGACGGGAGATGCGTACTTTGGAACTTGTAATTTCGTCAAGATTTCCTGGTTCATTTTTTGTTGGCTCTGAAGTAAATTTCTTCTGAAAATCCTCAGTGTTGGTATCTAACAATGTAAGGGTTTTAGTCTGCAATTAGAAAATTTTTCAACTTTTTCCATCCATATCTAGCTCAAGATATTTATTGTGGAGCTGTTTAACTTGGTACTGTCTTTGATAAACAAGTTAGGGAGCAATTTCTTAACTGTGATAAAATTAATACTGGTTTCTCTCCACTAGTACTAGTTAGCATTGATTTGATCTCTCTCAATCCTGTCTATAGATTTTGTGCGAATTCTATAAGTTTTACAAAACTGATACAAATTCTGGGATAGAATTGAGGAATTCATCATGCAAGCAAATTGAAGAACCATAAACTAGTTCTGCTGGTGAAGAACCCAGATCATCCTTTACAGCTGTTCTCACTCCTAATAGTTCTAAAGGAAAAACTTTGACCCTCAACTTGTTCAACAATTTTTGGTTATTCTTTAGAATCTGTTGTTGTCTCTCAATTAAATCATTGGACGATATGCCATGTTTGTATTGGTATTAAAACCTAGATACTTGTTTTGGGACAATGGAAAAGTTTGCTTTCAAACACTCACTATTGATCTGAAGTTATCATCTTCGGGATTTCAACTGTGCTTATCCATGTTAAAATCAAGGCCATAGCAAATGAATATGCTGTTTGATCTCGTAGTGGAACAGCTTCGATCCAGCAGGAGAAAAGTTCGATGTTGAGCAAATATTTGAATCATTTGCACAATGGTAAAAGTTGAACGACATCAATCTTGCGATGCCTGAACCGTTAAGATGGAACCTTGAATTCAGTGTGTGTATATTTGGACTTTTGATTTTTAACATGCTCTTACAACTTTGGAAATCTCTGTCTTAGATCAGATGAATTGTTTCCTGAGTAATTTTGTTGTCACTCTTAATTCCTGCATGTGAATGATTAAGAATTGATGAAAATATTGTGTGGGAAAAGTTTTTAATGCTATATGGCCGGTTATATTTTGAAGTATCAAAGAAAACTCTTTTATTACTATCTGGAAATTATCTTTTATTACATTACAATACAATTCAATATTAAGGTTCAGATTATTTTTGCGACTATTTAATTCTTCATCTTTCTTACAGTCAGCAATAAAGTCCAAATTTGTGCGAATGAGCTACGATTGTTTCGATTCTAAAAATAGTGTCTGCCACAATGTTGTCTTCTTTGGTGAATTTGACAATGTAGCTTAACTGTCGAGCTTGCCTGGTGTGTTTTGTCAATATATTGTTGGAAGACACAAAGAAATTGGCTTACATTTCCTTAAAACAGTAAAAAACTTGCCTTCTAGATGATGTTTGATTGCATCATGGATTGCTAAGAGTTTCTTGACTTAAGTGTTGTATTTTCTTTTAGATGGTGTGAGTGATCGAGAGTTGAAACAGAGAGGTTACGTTATAACATTTTCTGTTTCATGGACGGCAGCTCCTAAGTGGGTATCAGAAACACCGGTTGCAAAAGAGGGATAAGCCGACTGGGATATAAACCAGCATTGCTTTTTAGCTTAGGGCTTGCTTCAGTTTTTCAAAAGCTTTACAGATATTTACAGTCCAAAAAATTTTTTATGTTTTTTCACTATTTTCAGCATGCAGTCAGAGGCTGTTGAAAGTTGGCACATCTGGGATAAAGCGATGGTAAAAGTTAAATATACCCAAAATTTTTTCTAGCTAGTGAAGAATTTAGGTCTTGGAAAAGTCATAATGGTTTCTACTTTAAACGGTAGAAGTTAAATACTATCAGCTGAAATTTCATATCCTAGAAGTTGTAGCTTCTTTGAACCAAATGTGTAGTATACTTTGATACTAAGTTCATATTTATTCAACCTTTTAAAAACTAGATGTAAATGTTGGATATGAGTATCATCGCCTGGAAAGTCCAAATGTCATGATGGGGAATTCAAAGAGTACAACTTCGGAATATCCGCTTCATACTCAGGAATTTCTTAATTTTCTCTAATGAGATCAATTTTTTACCATTGGTTTTGATTTTTCTCCAATTTTAGCAGCATACAACTCCAATTTGTTCATTTTTTTCTATAAGGATGAAGTCATTTATCCTTATAGAAGAAAATAAACAAATCCTTATTTCCTTTAAGAAATAATAAAATGAATAATCTTCTATAGTCGTTTTATTATTTCTTAAAGGAAATAATAAAATAACTGATGACAAAAGAAATCGTAAATGATTCAGCTGCAGTGTTAATTAAAAATTAGGTAACTATTACAGTATTGCTGATTGAAAGACGTCTCCACTAACCTCTTTAACTTTACCTTCAGTAAATATATATATATATATATAATAGGCTTCAGTAAATACATTCAAATATGTTTATTCTAAGCTCAAGAACTATGAGACCAAATTTGAGGAAAGTAAACCAATATTGAGGCTTAAACCCAGTCTATAAATATTAGGGGGGGGGGAAGCATTTCTTGTTTAAAAAAAGCAATCAAAGTAACAACACTTAAAATTTTTAAACATATAGAAATTACTTCGTGTAAGTTGTTTATCGTATTTCTTTTCTACGAAATAAATGCTAAACTTATGCTGTTCCTTTATTAAATTTGTCACCATTTAAAAGGATGCATAGAACTAATTCATATAATTGTAAAATCAACTCCACAACCATGTATAATTTTTCAGTCTATTTTTCAAAATAGACTTCTAAATTTGTCTTCAACCAATACTGGACAGATACATAAAAACTCTGTGCATTCCTTTAAAATAAATCTGAAATATCTCTACTTACCTGAGCAGTGTAGATATATTATAAAAACAACTGGGCAGTTTTTTACCTGATATGTAATTAATTCTGAGCAAATTTATGCTGGGCAATCACACTTAAGGTGCTGGTAAATCATATTTTTTTCTTATATTAACTGTATTCAACCGTAATTATTTTTATTGTGAAGGAGGCTTTAATGCTTTCTGAAATAAATATAGACATCCAGTATTCAGAATTTTGTTCTTACTTTTTTAGGGACCTTGTCCATTGGAATCTTTGTCAAATTCAGTACAGAAATCCCACCGTGCAAGTTTTGTTTTTGAAAAATTTGTTTCCTACACCCTTTATAAGATGTTGGCTTGGTAAGCATTCTCATTAATGAAAATTTCCATATTTTATTACTATATATGTATTAGTTTTATTTCTAATTAACAATTTAATTAGATTTATTCAGGGGTCTGTCTAGGTTTTTCTGAGAGGTACCTATTTTGTGAAATTTTAGACATAATTTGTGAAAATTAAAAATTATAATAAAAAATCACGAAAATATGTATTTATCGTTTCCTACGGGATGCAAAAATAAAATTCTAAGAAAAAGTATTTTGTGAAAGTACCGCTAAACGGTAGTAAATTTGGCCTGGACAAACCCCTGTTATTAATTTATTTAATATTGTTTAGAAACCCCACTGCATTACCTAGTTTTAGTGGAATATTCAATAATTTATAGATTTTGGTGTTTCTTATAAGCTGTCCCGTCTTATTATTGAATTTTGATTAATCCAAAAATTTTAGATTATTTTATTCTGAAGTTAATTTCCACCCAAATAATATTTACTACTGTCTTTGATAAGTAACATTTTTTTTACCATTTTTATTAAAAATGTCTTGAATTTAGATGCATTAAAATTTTAGCAATGTAATTTACTGCAATTGTGAAATAGGATATGTGTAGTTAAATCTGGGCTAAGTATATTACACCAGGCTTATTTCATTTATACTAATTATATTGTTAGAGCTAACTTGTCCAACGAATCCTATTCAGAAATGTAATTACATAGTGGTAGCAAGGCTCAAAATTAAGGGTGGACTGTTGGTTCAAGACACTGGCTCTTACTAATTTGACTCAGACCACCAGAAAATATATTATCAGTGGTCTTCTGTACCATCAATTGATGTAAAGATATGGTATGCTGTTTTAGGTCTGCATCAGTGTATCTGATATTTTATACTAAGTACTTTAAAGTTGTTAGTACTTAAGATGAATACATCATGAAAATAGCAAGTACAATTTATATCAGTTATTTTCTAAAGTATAAAGTCAACTCATGATAGATAGCTCCTAAAAATAAGTTTTAAATCTTATTTAAAAATGTAGATGGTGGCATCAATTTGAAACTTGTATTTGTTTTGAATCATTCATATGATTTTGGACTAGTTCTATCCAAATGTCAACTTTACTAATATTCCATTTGTATCAGTTAGAAAATTACAACTCATAGAATCTATTACATCATGGACATCTATTACATCAAGACTCAGATCAACTCTATTCATTAGCAAATTTGGATCAATATATGGATTTGTTTTAATTAGAGGATTATTTCCAAATAGTTACTTTTTTGAACTGATACAAACAAGTAGATATTTGAAGAGTTAAACAGTCTTAATTTTCTTTCTTCACAGACTATTATAATTCATGACAATGAGTTTCTATACTATTGCATTTTTGTGTTAAGTCAAATCGTATGTTAATTTTTTTTCAAATTTTAAAATTATAAAATAATTTCCATAAATAATTATAAAAAATTTAATGATATTTATTTTTTTTTAAAAATTTCTTTCATTATAAATTAATTCCACATGAACTTTTTTTTATATATTTTGACAAGTTTAATTTCAAAGATGAGAAATTCTTATTTTTTATCAGCTTCATTTAAAAGAATTTTGAAAGCAATTAAGTGGTAAAATTCATTTTTATTTGATTATTAAAGTACTTTATCATGAACTGGTTGAATTAGATTCATTTGATTAAATCTGATTAAACTATCCCAGATATAAATGAACGAAAAATATTGTGTGAAGTATTTCATTTACTTTATTATTTTGGAGAAATATGTGAATGGATTTGTATTAGCTATATCCAGTTTTATCCTGCATGAGTCAGTGGATGTATTATGTTTTTATAACTTCATAAACAGTAATGTAACAATGTCAAAAACATAATAAACATGCTATCTTATTTTTTAACAGAACATTTGTGATTTTGTTTTAAATTTAGTTCAATTACTGAAAATTATGCTGGAAAACAATGGATGTTTTATTTTGTGGTTTTTTTTATCCTCACTGTAAATTGAGATTGGTATGTATTTAATGCTAAAAAAAATTCACACTTGCTATATACTGTACTTTACTATACTTTCAGATACTGGTGAAGATGTTATTATGGATGTTTTTAATAAGACAAATGTTGAAATAATTGATCATCTCATCAAGATATTGGGACAACCTGAGTAATAATTTTTTTATTTATTTTATTGTTAATAATCTTTTTTAATTTTCACATTAAATTTACTTAAATGACTCCTCAGTTACAAAAGAATTGCCTTAAGAAATGCAAATTTTTTTTAAAAATTAAAGTAAAAGTGATCTTCTCTATGAATTTAATAGTCAAATTGTTAAACTCATCAAAATGGATATACATTCAATCTAATATTCACTCAGAATTTAATGTCACAATATCGTAAGATATTATAATATATGTGCTGAAGCTTTACGTCACCACTGTTCAACATTATGTTCTAAAAGTTATTTTATTGTTTGTCTCATCCAGTTATGTCTTGTGAATATGCCTTATAAATTCTACGTGTTCGTTCATCGATGTTTTTTCCTTCAATCCCCACTGCAAAAGGACGTAATAGATATTTAAACAAACATTAATAATTATTTAAAAAACTTACTTGAATAAATATTATGACAAATGAAAATATTTAGTATTAACTGAGCATAAAATTAAAGTAATATTGCTTTTTAAAGTAAAATTTTTTGAAATGTTGTAATGATTGCTTTGGGTATTATATTAATACGGGCTCTAAAAAGGAATTAGCATTTGCAACTTTTAGTTTAATTTTTAGTTCCATTTAATATTCTTATCTCCATTAAATTGTTTTACTTTATTGTTCTTTGAAGAAAAACTTGTTTTATGGCAGAATTTGAATCTTTAAGTATAGGTTACATTAAAATAATATTTATAAGAGAACTATATCCTGTTTTAAAATGAAAAAGGAGTAAGAAGGGCAGTTCTTGAAAGCTGAAGGGAACTCTATGTTTTCACAATGAAGGCAAAAAGGGTGAATTTATCTCTATAAGAAGGCAAGCAAATTATTAAATTTTATAGTAAGATATTAAATTTTTAATTTGCATTTTATATTAAATAGAAAACTATTTCCTTATCTAATTATAAAGGTACCTAAATGATAATCTTTTTTATTTTAAAAATGTCCGTCTTTTGAATTTCAGCAATTTTTACCCAAACCATAATTTAACATTGCAATGGTTCGATTGATAATCCAGTTTACCCCCCAACAACTCAAACTTCTTAATAAAATTTGTTCTAACCTTAAACTTGTATGATTCTAAACTTAAAATCACATCAGTTCTTTTTTAAAAAACATTATAGGATGTTTTTCTTTGGATGTATAGTTATTATTCTATTGCATAAATATTTAAATGAAAAATACCTTTTTTTTTAAATATGTTATAGTTTTAGCAAAAACGTTTGAATATCATAACTGATTGAAATTAAAATGTGACAATTATAAGATTTAATTGAACATTTGTTTTGATATTTTAGTTCATTTATAACTTCCTGTTAAAACATTTATGAAAATAATTTTATAGTTTATAAAGTAATATTACAAATAATTTATAGTCTATAAAGTAATTATTTATTCTTTAATTTTTTAGTGTAAAAGAAGAACAAAAAGAAAAACTAGCATATGAAAATCTTGCAAAGTTTGGAAGTGGCTATCCTAGACATTGTATGTGTGAAGTTCCTGGTCAATTACCTTGTCCTGTCACTGTTCAACTTCCTGAGGAAATGACAGGCAAATATAAATCTGAACATAATTTATGGCCCAAGCCAGGACTTCATAAAGATTAGTTTATCTTTAATTATTTTCCTTGTAAATATCATTAGCATTTTGGCCTGAAAATGTAAACCTTTAGGTGATAAATAAAATTGTTGTTTTTTATTTCTTAACTATAACAATTAAGATGAAAATCCTTAAAACACTGAAATATATATATACAGTCAAACCCTTCTATAGTGAACACTGTTTATAGCGAACTCCCGGATATAGTGAATGAAATGTTCAGGGGAGTGCCTTGCTATACACGTATAATGTTATTTTTTGTGGATATAGAAGTAAAAAAGTATGGAGGTTGGATATTATCAACTTTTTTCTGTCTTCGACTGTTTTTTTTCTTTTAATAATTTTGAAATGTCTACTTCAAAATAAATACTTATACTGATTTTTAAAACCATCTATAAAGTGGAATATAGCAATAAGCATTTTATCGTGTTTGCTATTTCTATCACACTTTTCCATCCCTAAACAAAGATCTACCCAGGCAGATGTATGGACAAATTTTCCCCTGCTTCAGCTAAAGATTACTAATTTTTTTTTTGTACACAAGATGAAGAGTAATAAAGAATGAAAGCAAGTTAACACATTATTTGTTACTACATATTATTTTTCAGTCATTTTTGTATTTCATTTTATTGGTCATTTATTTAAATAATGTATAATGAAAAGGAGGAGTTTGGAACCATTAGTTAAAATTGTTTGCGGAACGGATTTAGTGAACTCCCGGTTATAGTGAACCAAAATTTCAGTATAGCGGAGTTTGACTGTATATATACACTCACATCAAAAATATCATTGTTTTCGAACATTACCAATCAAAGCTCAAGTTAAATGTATTAATAATACTTAACATTAATCACTTTGTCAAAATACTTTATATTTCTAAATAAAAGTGTTAGTATTATTAACTAATTATTACAAACTTATCGCTGAATAAAAATAGTTATAGTCATTTTTATTCGAATTCAACATCTCATGAATTGTATAGCTAGGGAGATAGTTTGTCAATTGAATATTAAATGAAGAGTAATTTGCGTCGGAAAACATTGACAATAAGTTTAAATTACTTTTAGGAAAACATGTCTTTTCTTTATTATGTAAATGCATTAAAACACTAAATGATTAAAAAGATTAAATAAAATGAAAAAAGTTTAAATATTCATATTGAATAAGTTTAAATATTCATATTGAATAATAATTTTTCCTATAATGCAAAATTATAGTTGAACAGATATTCTTCTCTTGATATAAACATATTTATTGATGAAATTTTACCTTAAAAATCATAACTTTCAGGAATTTTATATATATATATATA